CACTTTTCCATACGTAGCTGAGACTGCAAAAGAACCTGCCTTAAGATAAAAATCAAAACTCTTCACCAATCAACAACCGCATTCCAAATATCAACAAATGTTCTGAAGAAATCCCTATACCTTTTCAGAAAAGGGTCCAGTCTAAAGTGATAAGAATGATAAACGAACCCAACAGTAGCAGTAAATGAGCCCTTCTAATCAATGCATCGACACTTCTAAAGAGGAAGACTTCATAATTTTAAATTTCTTCCTTGTGAAAATTTGTAGTTTTTGTTTTGTTTTTCTAATAAAAGTCGAGTAATAAGCTAGCTAACTGTAGAAATTAAAGCTAAAAAGTAGCATAAATTAATGAAGCTAGTGCTACATAAAAAAGTCCGGAAGTACGTAATATCTAAAACTAATACACAAGGAACCTAAAACAAAACTACAATGGTAAGAACACATTGATAAAATAAGTTGGCATCCCTATTATTAAGGATATATTTACAGCAATCCCAACAATATCTCACGAGATTTCACAAGTTTCGGTTCTTTCTAAATCCGTATAGAAAGCTCAAAATGTAAAATAACTTTAAGAAGTATAAAAAGATATAAAAGAGTGAAATAACATTAATAATACTCATAATTCTTTTGAACATTATTATAATCAATAATATGAATTTTAAAACACGTAAAAAAGAAATTTTTTGCTAATAAGATCCACACACCATTCAATATTCGAAACCAGAGTGTACTTATAAGCGTTCGTGTATTTACATTAGTGCACATCCAACGACACAAACTAATCGTGGATATAAAACAATACTATAAACTATAAACCTAAACTAACATTAGCCACATATAAGAAAGTTATATCATTGTTTTTAACTAATTTCCTTGTAAAAGTTTTCAGTTTTTTACCCGGTATTATTTTGTAAAGTATAAGATATATTACCTATCTTGCTGTCTAATGTGTATGTAATTGTTGCTGTGTATCGTACACTACCTATCTTGATGTCTAATGTGTATGTAATTGTTGCTTACATTAACATTGCTTAAGGACAATAATATAGAAAATTATTATACAAAACTGTTTATCAAATTTCTTGTTCGCATGAACATAGTAATGTAAACGTAACTGTCCTAGTTAATGTAACGAACACGTTACATCTCTTGGGTTTTGCAAAATATTATCGTTTTTCACCTTTTGCGTTTGGCAGTAACAGAATAATCCTTGACACTTGTCTCCACTGGAGTAAGCTATGGTAACAGAGCTATGTGCAAATCGAAACAGTGGTGCAATTTCGGAAAAATCTTGTAGAAGGCCAGGGTGACCTTAATTTCTACAAAATACATGAAATATTGATGACGTAGCACGTTTTGGAGTTCATATGTCAGCTGTAATAACTACGTAAGAGCCGGAGAGTTATGAGGAACAACAACAAAAAAAAAACCAGAAATTTCGACTTTGTATTTATATATTACTATTAATGATTTCTCATAACATATTCCATTAACCAGACGTTTTACATGTGAGAATGATGGAGCATGTTCCACCGAAACATGTAGAATTTTTGAGTTTTGTGTTTGCTTTTAACTTTATACAACAAATTATTGTGCATGTTCAAAAAAGCTGAAGTCCTCAATTGATTTTATTACGTTTTACATTTCTCAAAAAAAAGGCTTAAATGGTGCAGTCCCCCCCCCCCCTACAACCTCAACCTCCCAAATTGGTGCCACTGGATCGAAACTTGAGTGGCGCCAGAGAATGCTTATTTAGGGTAAAACTTCGAAAGTACTTAAATGTATCACAAACTTTAGTGCGTAAATATGAATTTTAATCTGATCAACCAAAAGAAAATAATGACTAAACAGTTTAGTTGATTTAAGTTAGAAATAAATTTTTATTTCAATTCCCTGCAAATTGTATAGATTTGTAATTTTGGAATCAAAAGCTTGAAAATAACTCACAAACTATATAAAATGGTGTTATAAACAAGCGATCTCTGACTTAACTATATTGTTTCCCAAACTGTTCTCGGCCAGTTAAATAGGGAAAATTTGAAAAAGCTGAAAATTGTCTTTTAGCTATCAGTTGTTCTTAAGCAATTTCAAAGAAAATATGCTGCTTTTCTTTAAAAAAAAAAAAAAGGCTTATACCAGTCGTTTCCAACTCCGTGCAAATGATAGAAGCGTCAGTTTTGAAGCTGACCTGCACGTTTATGGTCGTAAAATGCTCGGAATTTTATCCTTGCAGCAGGTGTGGGTGTTATCACGACGGGACACCCGTGACCGAAAAAGTAAGCCATAACAAACGGTTAAAGAAAGTTTCATTGTGATAAGTGTAACGATGCGAATAAAGGCCCCTAGCACAAAATAACATCCACGTACCAACCAGGTATTTTTAAGAAGATTCCAGAAGATGTCTCTGCTCAAGAAATGAGGAGTGTGAGGAAGAAGGGTGGCGGAGAGGTAATACACATTATTGTCGAACTGCTTACCACGTTCGGCTTGGCTTAACTGATGACCATTACCCAAAGCTGCCGCTACAGCCTTCAACCTTTCCAATTGCATCAGAATGCTTGGTAGTTCGCGCCCTACTTATCCCAGATTTTAGGTTTCGCGGGGAATCTACTAACAAACTATCGTACCTTTCTTTGGCTAAATCAGAGATCGCTTGTTAATACAAAAAAAATGTTCTACAAACTCTTTTTACGATGATAAACCGGTTCATTAAAAAGAATATTTTAAGACACGCTATTAAAAAAATTACGTCAACTTTTCATTTTTGTTATCGAATTTGTATTAAGGATAATTAACCCAGTGAAGTAGTTACTAATAATTCCAGATAAACAATAATTTATCCATATAGATCAGAAATAAAAAGGACAAATTAATGAAGGCAATTCTATATAATAAACTAACAAGAAGTACATAATGTCGTAAATACAAAAACTGTAATGATTAGAATACATTGAACCATCATTAGCGTACCCTCGATCTCATAAATATTTTCTGCCGCAATTCCAATAATATTTCACGAGGTTTAGACAGCTGTTCCAGACATTTCCTATTACAATGCATTCATCTTCTATTTAAAAAATGATATTTTGTCTTTATTCTCCTTAAAATCCGTGTTCGATTGAAGTAAGGAAATATAAATAAATAGCATTGTCATTTGCCATTAAAGCATCGGTCTATAGGACATAGGTACGAAATCGTTAGTCTACCAGTGAACACTTATCTAATAATACAACGGTAAATATCTGCAAATAAGCAAATCCTCTCGTATTTAAATATTAAATATCTGTTCTGCAATGCATTCTCTAACATATAAAATCTAAATATATGCAGAAAGCTATGCCCTTTAACATTTAAAATCTAAATATCTGAAGAGTTGCGCACTGTCTGACATTCAAACCTTAAAGATTGTCATGATATCAAAGACTGTTTAGTTTAGATATTATTGATTAATTTAGTTTTGTGAGTGAATATTCTATTATTGTTTAGTTTTTGTTATTTTTGTCATTGATCTTGAGACTATCGAACGTCGCGTACAATACATTGACGTCGAGAATATAGAATGCGGGCAGACGATTAAGTGATAGACATAAATAGTGTGAGACAAGCAGAAACAGCAGATAGATAATAGCAAAAAAAAGAGTAAAGTTACAGGCCAAGGAAAAGTTCTGCGTGAAGTTAACTACTCTAGAAGTGATAGGCCTAACGTTTAATATGTTGGAGTAAGACTAACAGTAGAAAATGAGATAAGAAAAATAATATATTCCATCAAACCGTGGTTCTAAAGTAATTGAATCAGCCTGAGTGCACTTTGACAAAAGGAGCAGAGGATATTTAAGAGAAAGAAGACCAAACGATTACGGTAACTCACGCCACAATTGTAAGTGAATCACACACAGAATACTAGTGCGATAATGAGAGAAAAAATAGTTCGGCTTGTCAACTAAAATTTTAAAGTAATTGAATAAGCCTAAGTGGACTTTTTACAAGAAAAAGATATATATATATATATATATACTATCTTGAAAACAAGTGAAGTGCGTGCTGTTCAATTATCGTTGAATTTATCGCTAACAAGTCACAGACACCTACTGTAGAAGGATCCTAAACCTAACAACAACATAGTATATATTCATACTATTAAGAAATATAAGTAAAAGCCTTTTATTTTGACAGTTGTCGAAAAATAATTATATATTTTTTTATTCTGACAAAGATGAATCTGTAGAGTCACACGCCCTCTGATATCCAGATTTGAAGTATTCCCAGATTTATATATCCTCTAATATTTCATCTGTAAATATTCTACAGAGGAGGAGCTGATGGAAGAGCGATAGGTTTGAGGGCTTATAAGGCATAAAATCACGGTTCGATGCCCGCAGCAGGCAGATCTATATGATGTATGAAAAAGAATCAAAATATTTTTGTGTCTCACTCTTTATTTTGAGATTATTGTAGCTTCATTGATCACCTTATTAAGTTTGAAAACTATTTTGACCTGGTTAGTTTCAATTTTGAGTCATTGACTTTTCATTACTCGCTATTTAGGCGTAAGCTTTAAGTAAAATCACTAGTTAAGCTAAAACACAGTAAGTAGCTTAGATTGTTCAGAAATGACATTCATATCATGCAATTCAATATATTATTAGATCATGTTATCATAAGTTTGCGTGGTAAATAAAAAAAATTACCATATCATATTAAGTTACTCAAGACTAAATTAGACAGAAGTACATTAGATTATCAGTTCTTAAGTAGCTCAACATTAATTGACATGAAACACTATCATAAGTTAATTAAAGAAAAAAAACGTAACGTATGTAGATATACATACATATCTCCCCTCTCAGTGACTCAGCGCTAAGTCTGATGGACTTGTAACGCTAAAAGTGGGATTTCAATACCCATGGTGGCAGAGTACCATAGCCCAATGTGTAGCTTTGTGCTTAACAACACAAAAGTTACATGTATATATATTTACTTCTTTTTCTTTATTTCAGTGAAATCTTAGCCTTCGCCACAGAACCAGTACTTGGAAGTTTAGCAAACATTATGGGTTCTTTGGAAGATCGTCTGCCACAAAGCCTTCCACAATCAGTCACGAGATACTCTTTTGTTGAAACTGAAATAAAATATGGGCTTTTACAGGTGAGTCAGTACCTACTAGTTTTTGTATTTTTCTTGTTGTTGTTTTTCCCCATCATTTGCTTGTGCAAGATGTCACACCGTACATTATAATTTATAGCCTTAACACACTAATGCAAAGGCATTGATGAATCAAAACTGTATTGTTCACATAAGTTGTGTTAAAGATATGGAAAGACATCAAGTATTGGAGTTAAACAAAAATAAATATTTAACAGTTTTTATAAGTTACTATATAAATCGTATTTCAGACAGTCTTTTACATTTATCGATAAACACAGTCGATTTTCCGAAAATTAATGATCCTTTGAATTTTAAGGGTTAGCTTGCTTCATTCATTTTTATTAACGCTAAAGTTCATTACTATTATATTTTCGCCCTCTTTGGTGATTATATTATATTAATTAATATACAACAGCTTCAACCTAATTAGATTAATTGTTATTTCTGTTTTGGATAAAGCAACAATATATGTACGGCATTTATTATAACAACAGTTGTTATGGTGCAAACGTCTTTTCATTAGCAAAGGAAAGTATAACATAGTGTGGTTGAAATATTATCATACATTCTTCTTCTGTTTGAAATATCCCAAAGGGGCTGAATAAAGAATGCAGGATAAAATTTAATAGGCTTAAAACTAATGTGTTTTGACAAGTATAATATAAAATATAGACCAGTAGTTAGTATTACCTTTGTTACCTAAAGCCCGAGTGAACCCTAAATAGTCTATAATTATTAAGCTTATAGCTTTAGTATTTTTTTATTTGTTACTAAATAAACGTACTTCGAATGCTGTGGTTGATTTTTTATTCATATTTTTGGTTCATGTTTAAAAAGAAATAATTTAATACTTCTCTCTTACATAAGTACTTTAGTTAGTGTTAGGCTTAACCTAATTTTTGTTAAGAGTTTATTCAAACATAACTTTTACTTAATTAATTAAATTTAGTTCTACATTGTTTTCTAGGTTTTCCATATTCTTTGAATATAAATATATGTTTAGATTATGCCATTAATATTTATAGAAATATGTTCATTAGCGTACGTATATTTACACGTGTATATTATGGTATATATATATATTATATTTATATTCAGAAATCATTGGCAATTTAAATAAATGTTATTGTAAACACTGATTAAAATAGTAGAATAATTTTAATTATAAACACAGGTGTTTGCATCAGCTAGGATAGCATAAATTACTGTAAACCTCCACTTTATTGTCTAATATTAGTGTATTCTGTTACGTATTGCGAATTTGAAACAGTCCGAACCCGATATTTTTGTTAATTTACGCTATTTGCCAACAAGATTGACACACACCGTTTTCGTTTTTCACACAAATATGTTTTAATATATATATATACAACAGTACAACTTAGAACAACAATTATTACGAATAATTACCACAAACAAAGTTTTATAAACAACAATTTCACTAACTTACAAACAACATAGAATCTTTTTTCTAGTTCAGAGTCTCCTTGATATCCAGCGAGTTAACTTGAAGTCGATGTACGTACAATTGCCGAGAAGGTAGCTAGCTTTGTCAGAGACTGAATTGTTGGACCGTCGAAGTAAGATAATATTTTCATAAAACTACTAATGTCCGATGCGAATTCAGTAATACTTTCGGAAAGATATTAGCGTCTGATGAGGACCCACTGACGTTCGAAAATTATAAGAGTATCCATTTCACCTATACGTCATTTTCTTATCAAACCGCGCATCATGACAAAAAAAAAACATTTTTTTATGTTAATTTACTTAAACCTAAATGTTTCAAAAACCTAATAATCAACTAATTTAAATTATCAATCTTATATTACAATTGAACTAGCAACAGGGGAAGATCCTTTTGACTATAGACGTGTATCATTTCGGTATATAAAACCATAATTAATTTTAAAATTTCGTTTTAGTAAAATAGTTTCACAATCCATTTCCATTTCCATGAAAAAAATCGAGATTAATTATTATTTCTTTGAACAATGAGCTTTGTCCGAGAAAGTGACATGTCATCATTATCTGTTCTTTTGATGTCAGATTCCGTTTGTTTGTAATGTTAAAATCTTCGTTAGTAACTTTTGAAAAATAACTTCACTCTTAAAAAAAACCTTCGTTCCTTCAATCGCTTGTTTCTATTTATAGTTTGGCACTGACAGATTCAACCACTGTTCTAGAAAAGGAAATATTCAACCTACCTTGCTTGTGGTGACTGACAATTTGTTTGTTTGTATCTAAGCACAAAGCTGCACAATAGGCTATCTGGGCCCACAACGGGTATCGAAACCTGGTTTCTAGCATTATAAGTCCACAGACATACCGCTATGCCACTGGGGGGGGGGGCGGTGACTAACGAAACAATATTATTCGTTCTGATAAATAAAGTTCAAGTCATAAAAAAAAGAAATACATAACTAAACCTTTCTTGTACTTTTACTTTAAGGACGAAACATTGATTATTTTTCTTATTGTATTCAAACGCAAAAAATCATAGTGTTGATTATAAGGGGAAATGCAGTCATGTAACAAGCAGTTCTCCTCTTCGTTCAAATAGTTAAAGTATTGAAATCTGAAACATCTAGACCAGGAGACCCATCACATGCTCATATAACATGCTTCTACGATAAAAAAAAAAAACATATATAAAACTGAAATATCTCATCATTAAACAAAAAACACGCTTTAACACGAATCAGTTTAAAACTCTTCATAGTAAACCTGGTCTCTCTAGATTCTTTTCTTGTCTTCACTACTTTTTAACAACATTATTATTTAATAGATTTCCTGATAAAATAATATTTTCTCACCATTTCTACAAATGAAATTTAATTTGAGATTTATACAGTTAGAAGGTTCACCCTTATTTCACACTTATAGAAAAGGTAGTTTTACCTTTCCTTTACATCCTGACAATGTTTTTTACTTTAATGGTGAACTGTGTCTATAAATCGATAATTATTTGGTCTTAAGGTTCCTCAGTTTTGTTTTTCTCTCTCAAACAGAATCTCACTTTAATCTTATTTCTAATCTCCATGCTTTGTTGCATTTTGTGCTTTGGAGACAATTCAGTTATTGAGTAACAAAGACATTTGTTCTTCAGACATATATGTTATAGGAATTTATACTGCCTTCACCAATTCACTTTTTCAAACATTAAATTTAGTAGAGATAATTCTTCCACCCTAAACTACTTGTCAGATTCGCTATATGTGTGTTACATTTATTTTCTTTTTAGTGACATAACGGTTTAGTTGAGAAATGTTCGACAAAATAAATAACCATAGCCTTCAAAAAACAAGTTTGTTCCAGTGGTTTCTGTGATTTAAAGTAATCCTATTTTCTACCCTCTCGTATTTTCTCTACGCAAGATATGTACTGACTGTCTCAAAAATACCTCGTAAATTATTGTCTTATACCTTCACATGCTCAAAATGTCCGCATTCAGTATTTATACACCTTTCATACCGAACTAGAACTGATCTGTGAGCAGAAGTAGCCATTTCTCGAGATATCCTTTTAAACGCTCTGCAGACAAACATCGAATGGACTTATGCAGGCTTTGAACCAGAGCAGTTGAAAGAATTTGTCTTGTTTGTCCGGTGTGTACTATCAACATTTTTTGATGCATGATGCACCGAACCAGTTTCTTCAATTTTCTTTTTCGGTATTTTGATTGATTCTGGACATGGTGGAGTCTTCTTCTAAGAAGCTTCGTATTGACGCTAAACTTTTCGTATTTGTACACAATCTGTATTGCACTAATTCCTTGTTCAGCGCTGAGTATAAACGATCCCCCTTTTCACTTGACTGACCTATCACCAAAACCAGCAACTATATAATACGTTCACTAGGTATCTTGTTTCCATATATTAATTAAAAGTTTCTCATGACACGTTTGTTTTTTGTTTGTTTGTTTTTGAATTTCGCGCAAAGCTACACGAGGGCTATCTGCGCTAGCCGTCCCTAATTTAGCAGTGTAAGACTAGAGGGAAGGCATATAGTCATCATCACCCACCCCCTTACTTTTGGGCTACTCTTTTACCAACAGATAGTGGGACTGACCGTCACATTATATCGTCCCCACATCTGAAAGGGCGAGCATGTTCGGTGAGACGAGAATTCGAACGTCCTAACCACCAGATCATGCCAGGCTTGAACATAGTTTGCTCTGATCGGAAGTTAAAATTAATTCGAGACACACTGCAAGCTATATACTAAATGTATATCAGTTACACTAGATACATTATGAATTTAGCTGATAAGCGAACTACATACCATTACACCAGATACCTTTCATTTCATTAAGCTATATACACTGCACACGTCAATATATCAGATGCACTTCTCACCACTACCACTAGTTACATTCGATGGCCTCTCGTTGGCTCAGCGGTAAATCTGGGGGCTTATAACGCTAAACTTCGGGCTTCGATTCAAATATGGGCACATCACAGATATCCCATTGTGTATTTTTGTGCTTAACAACAAACATATGTCATCATGCTATTCGCACTACCTGCGAATAGAAAATATAATTGATATTTTAAATGATAGATAAAACTTTATGTGACATCCAAGTATTTCCAAAGATTCCTTCGGTTGAAAACTTGGAGGTAAACAGCAAGATCTTTCTTTTGCGAACACGTATGTCACGAACAAAGTGGAGCACTTTCGAAATAACGTTTAGTAATATTTATGGTATGGAATAACCTGAGTGTGGTTTAGTACAAAGCCTTTCCTCCTATATAGTAAACATATCAAGTATACAATAAGTCCAGTAAAGCAAGTGATGAGATAGTGTCAGAATTTAAAAATATAATTATTTCGCTAATTGTCAAAATAAAAGGATTTTACTTATATTTCTTAATAGTATAAGTATATAATGTGTTGTTGATGGGCTTACGATCCTTCTACAGTAGGTGTCTGTAGGTGACTTGTTGCCCTATTTTATAACAAACATAACATCTCTTCTCCCTTCTGTCTATTAACCT